GTATCCCGAGGCTTTGTGCAGCGGTGGTGCAGGAAGAGAGAAGAACAGAAAATGTAAAACACGCAGATCACACAGAATCGGCCTCGAGTCGAACCAGGGGCTCCCGTCTGCAACCACTAGAAAAGAGAGATATAAATGGCGCGCGCGAAGCCCATCGCTACTGGGTCTTATTCTTCCTCTGTCGAATTTTATGTTGATTTTGTGGAGATAACCTATGACACTGAATTCATTGGTACAAGTGCGTGCAAGAGTGCGGGAGTATCTCTGACAAGCCGTTCTTTTTCGCGGGAGGGGACAGCAATGGAGCAGCTGTTTCAAAGAAAAAAGAAAAATAAATAACACCAACGTTACTACACCACGACCCGGCCTGGAGTCGAACCAGAATGTTCCCTCCTGCAGCCATGGCATGGGAGATCATATCTGGGGAGGGTGCGAGACCTCGCTACCGGGTCTTACATATATCCTCTGACAAACCTTCTTTGAGCAGACACTTTGTTTTATCTTGAGAGAGAAGAACTTACGAACGGCGTCCTTCAGAGCAGCGGTGCGCGCGAAAAGCCCCGGAGAAGCATATTCGATTCGCATTGGTCCGGCGAGAGTTTGTGTGCTGGGGTGGGCGGCAAAAAATTCCTCGCCCAGAAGCAGACGACGCGGTAGTCCCTTTTCAGTGAAGATAAATTCCTAACGCACCATGAGCAGACTCCGAAGAATTGCGTGCCGAAGTGGGATAGATAGGAAAGTGGCTTTGAATGTCCGATTTGCCTTGAGCGAATGATAGAAAAAGAGCGGCCATTGCAATTATGGCCCGGCCTGGAGTCAAACCAGGGGCTCCCACTGGCAAGCACAAAGAGCCAAACCACGAATGGGGGGTGCGAGACCGTTCACCGGGTCTTGTTCACCCTCTGTGGAGCCTTCTGTCAGCAAGGACTGCTTAGCCTGAGTGTTGATGAACAGAACTTGAGAGCGAGGAAATCGGCGCGAGACCGTTCGCTACCGGGTCTTATTACCCTCTGTCAAACTCTCATCAGCAAGCGTCGTTGGGCCATATTTTCAAAGAAAGAACGAACCCATAAACGCGCAGACTGAGCAGGACCACTCGCCATAGTGTGGGAAGATAAACGGAAAAGCTGCTGAAACCCATGCATTTCTGCAGGGCGCCGGCCGGGTAAGACTCCACATCTAAAGTACTTGAACTATTGGCCAAAAAGTTGCCCCAGCTTCGTCTTATGACCCAGTCTGGAGTCGAACCAGTATATACCGTCTGCAAGATCGCACAGAAACATGCATGGCGGATGCGGGACCGCTCGCCACCGGGTCATAATCACTGTCTGCAGATCTACTAAACAAATTTTAAGCACGCAGGAGGTTAAATGGACAGAACTTACGAACGCGCAAGTTCGGTAGCAAGTCATGCAGCACTGCAAAAAAAGCATTTTTATTGGTCTTCTCCGGGTGGGAGGGCGCAGGAACTTGAGGGACAAAACCAATGCTGCCTGAAAGACCAAGACCCAGCCTGGAGTCGAACCAGGGGCTCCCACTTGTAACAGCTCAAACACCCCACATTCGTTCTCGGGCGAGACCGCTCGCTACCCGGTCATATTGTGGCTCTGTCGAACCTCCCATCAGCAAACACTTTGAGCCTGATTTGGATCAATGGAAGTCACCGACGCGCGCGCAGATCTAGAGTCGGTGGGATTTTTTCCAGCGGGGAAATAGAAACAAAAAAGCCGCTTGGGATGGTGCCGGGACTCGGAAAGCCGGGGGTCTGTGCTTGATCAACGGTTCAACAAAAGGATCCTTGGGATCAGTCCACGACCCGGCCTGGAGTCGAACTAGGATTCGTTGCCCGCTAAGTATGTGCTCCGCCGGAACACACGAAGTGGGCGAGAACCGCTCGCTACCGGGTCTTTTTTGGGTGGGATGGAGCGCGGAAAGGACGGGCGATGCGCAGGAACACATGCGGATGATGATGATTGCCAACGCAGATTCGACAGTCACCGTTGTTTTTGGCAGAAGTTGACGGGGCACAGCGATGCATATGTGGGGTGCGCGGGGAAGGGCACCAGCGGGCGACAGCGCGAGGTAACGGTGATCTTGATCCATTGTTCGAGATAAAAGGTCCGAGGTTGATCAAAATGAGCGCACGCGCAGCGCTCCCGGGTACCCGAGTCCGAGATCGTTTACCGTCTTTTCGCCGTTGAGAGAACAACTCCGGATGCTGTTGCGCAAGCAGGAGCGTAAGAGTTTGTACAATTGTCCGACCGTCAAAAAGTTGATGTCGCAACGCGCGACGACCCGGCCTGGAGTCGAACCAGGGGCTCCCGGAAACAGGGAGGAAATATGCGTGGCGGGCGCGAGACCGGGTCTGATTCATGTACCTTGTGGGAACGTTGTCTTCACCCGCAAGCCCTTTTGGATTCGTACACTTGAAAGAACGAACTCACGAATGCAGAGCCTGTAGAATTCTGTGTCGAAGTTGTAAGTGCCCAGGACCTGTGTGATTGGCCAAAAAAAAACCTCCAAGCTCTCGACATGACCCGGCCTGGAGTCGAACCAGGATGGGTGCCCACAATCTCGCAGTTGCGTGGAAAACACAGTGGTATACGGTGTGGACGCGAGACGACTCGCTACCGGGTCTTTTTTTGGGTGGTGCGGAGCACGCACGGCAAAGACGGGATCCACTATTCGAGGTACGAGACGGATTCTGCGGATTTGCGATTGAGTGGAATGCCAGCAGTACAGTGATACAGAAAGCACCGGCACGGACGAGCCTCTTTAGCCTTGCAGACCTCGAGCCTTTCTAGATGAAGAGATGGTTACAAGGGCGCGCGGGAGAAGAGTACCGGAGTGGGAACAGCGGAAGTAAATAGTGATCTTGATACGTGGCCCGAGGTTGATTGAGATGGACACGCGCACACAGCAGATAGTCCCGAGTAAGTCAGTACTCGAGTCCGGGGGCTCGAGACCGTTTATTGTTTTCTTGTCGAACAATTGGCCATTGTAAATTTTTTTCCGCTCGGCGCTGGGCGGCGAACAATCAGGCGGGGGCGGAACGCGAGCTCCAGGGCATCGAACAGACCGAATCGCCGCTGTGCAGCCCAGCCGAGTCGAAAAACCCGCGTCGTCGCCCGTCGACGTGGTTGTGGAGGAACAAACGGCGATCAACGGCCGTTTACCCGTGTTAATTCCAAGCGACATTGTCCTCATCCGGCTGCCAAGGCCATTATGGCAAATCAAATCCTTGTTGCCTCCCACCACCGTTGACGACGCACACACCACACGCCCTCGTCGTCCTCCGCATCCTATTCCTCCATCCTCCTACTCCTCCATCCTACTCCTACGAGCTCCTGCTTGCACGCCACAAACTAGACGACAGACTACGCACTCCCACGCACACCACCGAGTGGGAACGACACGAGCCACGACATCGAGACGAGAGGAAGAGACGAGGAAGCAGAAAGAAAGAGAGCAGAAGAAAGAAAGAAGAGAGAGAAGAAACAGAGGAACGAAGAAACGACGATGCTGACCGCGCTGCCCCCACGCGCCGTGACCCTCGCCCCGACCGCAACCTCCGGCATCCCCGCCTCAAACGTCATCTCCACGACTCACTCTGCCCGGCCGCCGCCGACGCATTCTTTGCATTCGGAAAAGTGCGTCTTTGCCTGTATCCTTTTGCTTCCCTTTACTGCTTCCTGCCTTCTTTCACGGTCGCCGTTGACAGGATTGCTGATTGATTTTTTTTGCGTGCTCAGACAACACAAAGCGCCCGTCGGCCTCATCGTCGGCGTCGCCATCGCCATCCTCCTCTTCATCGCCTCCCTCTTCCTCGTCCGCTTCCTCTTCATCCGCCGCGCCCGCAAACGCGCAGCCTTCGCCGGTCCAGGCAAGACACTCGGCTCTGCTGCTGCGGTGACCCCGTATCCGCGCCCGTCGATCGCCAAGGAAAGCGGAGGAGCGTACGCGGGCCACGACGACAAGCCGCGGTCGACGCCGAGTGAACGCGCCGCAGTCGAACTCGGCGCGTACCCCCCGCCCCAACCTGCACCCGCCTCGCACGAGCGTACCGGCTCCGCGGGCTCGTGGGCGACGCCGTTCGCTGGCGCCGGTGCTGGAGGGAGAGCAGAACCGGGGGCGAACTCGTCGCCGGCGGCGAGACAGGCGTATTTGGCGGCGGAATTGCGCGCGGCGCAGGGGGTGTTGGAGAGGGCTGGGACGGTGAGTTTGTTTTGTCTTCTTTTATTCCTTCTTGTTCTGTTCCTGGCGTTCTTTCACTCCCGCATCTCTTCCCGCCACTCTCGTTCCCTTTGCGGCCTTTCTCGGCACTCAATCATCCTTGCGTCCCTCGCTTCTGGTTTCCGTTGCCTTCCTACTCCCCTCGCTCCCTTGTGTGTGTTGCGGCGGGCTGACGTTCACCCCTCCCAGCGCAACCCCGAAAACATCGACCTCAAAGCCACGAAAGCGCGCATCCGCGCGCTCGAGGAACGGCAGACGAGCGCGTGGGCGTTGGGGTTGGAGTGATATGCGCTGGCGCAGTTCTCCCTCTCCTCCTCCTCCCCCTCTCATCCTTCTCATCATCATTCTCAATCTACGCAACGTCCTTTTGCCGTCCCTCGGACTCGAACTTGACTCGAAAGCGCGGGAGGATATGGACGACAAGGACGAGTACATACTATACCACCCCCGGGATTTCCACGGACGATTCCATTTGGATGAATGGACAACTTGTAATTTTTAGGCGCAATTGCATTTGTGTGTACTTTTCGCTCGTGCGTTGGCGCGGCTCTCCTCGACGTGGGGTTTTGTTAAGGGGAGGCAACGGCCTGCGATCGCCGTGCCTGTGCCTGTACCTTGCCCTTGTCTGAGGTTTATTCTCCTGTGGGACGGATCACAAGTATGGCGGGTATCTCAGACTGCTCGGGGCTCGCCTTGGCGGCATCTGTACATGCTATCGCAAAGTCATGAGTCCCGAGCTTCACCGAGCATACAAGAGCTTTGAAAAATCGGACGTGGTGTACTGTTACACGGCCTCGTTATATAGTTATGCCCACAGCTCCAGGCGATTTCGAGGTAGTACCGGGTTCGATTCCTGGCGTCCGAGTAAGCGAGGAGGTCCACTCTTTTTGTATCTTGTTTGTATCGGTGAACTGCCTGGTTCGTCAACCCTTGCCTTTAATCCCAGATAGCCAGGGACTGAACATCGTCAGAGCCAGCCTGAGGTTGGCAGACTGGAAGAAGGTGTTGTGGGATTACGAGAATTCAAAGGAACAAGAGAGTTGAAAATCGGACGTGGTGTAGGGCTACACGGCACCTGCAACTTGTGACTTGCTGCGAATCGCGGACAGTTCGTTTAGGAGGCAGAACCGGGCTTGGATTTCCGGCGTCCGGGTTTGCATGAGTATTGTAGCATCATTTCGCACTGTCGAACTCTGCGTTCAATTATTCGAAGCTTGAGATGTCAATTGACTTGGTGCGCTTATGAGCCGTGTAAATAATGCTAAGAAATCGGACGTGGTGTAGCGTTGCACGGCCTCGTCAAATGTACAAATAATAGAGTTTTGAGGCAGTCCCAGGTTCGATTCCTGGCGTCCGAGTGCTTGGTCCCAGAGCTCTCTTTCGCGATAGTTGTTGGTTGGGGATTGGGATGTGTTAGTTAGTACGAGAGATGGGGAGAGGAGGCAGAAATCGGGCGTGGTGTACCTTAAGCAGGTTCGAGAGGCAATCCCGGGTTCGATTCCTGGCGTCCGAGTGAGTCGATGATCGGTAAACATCCTTTTTTGGGCGGACTTCTGAACTGTTCTAGAATGTTAGTGGGCCTACAACTTTTGTCTATCAACCGCTGCCGCATGTAATGTAATTCCGCTGAATCCCCATGCGCCGTCGTAATTTTTGTCCATCCAATCTCGGGCTCAACAGTGCTAATACAACGTTCAACAGAGGAGGAATAAGTAAAGCCAAGTAGCGAGCGGTCCTCGCACTCACACTGCGTAAAAATCACAATGGTCGCTGCCACCCCCGGACGTCCCGCGTTGCCAACGCGTTGCACCCCTTTGCACCCGCGGTGGAGTTCCGCGTGGCTGACTCAGAGTGACTCCTTTTTATGGGTTGTACGAGCTGTGGGGGTACTGCGGAAGGATTGTAGGCCGCCTGCAGTCTCCAGAAACTTTCTGGTTTACGCTTTGAAGCAAGCTGCAAGTCTGACGTCTCTGGATATTCCGTTAGTGACAATTGCGATAAAATCTCACCTCAGGAGGTGAAACAACACCTTCATGCAGCGGAAGCAGAGTATGACTCTGCGTGACCCACATGTTGCCGTCTCGCACTCTTAAATATGGCGACCCTTCCACCCATCGCCACATCCTCGACTTCACCCCGAACATGTCGGAAAATGAAACAAATAATGTCGCCGATGAGTCGAACGCGGCCACTACGAGCGCCGGCGAGAATCCCCGTCCGGTGCGTGTTTCACCCCTGGGCCCTAGCCACACTGTGTAATGATTGATTGCATTCTTGCAGCTCGATACAAAGGAGGAGGTGGTGGATTTTAGCGTCGCCGACATACCGACCCCTGATTTGGGCGAGCCCGCCACGGACTTCGGGCACGACGCGCTCGCCGCGCTCGATGCCGTCCACATCGAGATCGAGCCTGTTTCGCACGCACGGCTCCTGAGAGTCTGAGACCCATCCCGTCCCGCGCGGAACGCGAGGCGGAGGAAGCGGCGACGACTCGCAGACATTACGAGGAGGACATGGAGGACGAAGCAGCATGGGAGATGAGCGGTGGAAAGGGACAGCTGCGCAAGCCCCGCCAAAGACATGATCCGGATTGGGTTAAAGAATACTGGAAATCGCGGTCTGGGAAATGAATGGATGAACACTGCCGTCAATTTCGCGGTCTATTAGTATTACCTCTTCCCTTGCACATAATTCGTCTGGTTCTGTGTTTCCGCAAGTTGCGTCGATTCAGGATCGAGCTGTTACTGTTCTGTGTGTCCAGCCGACCTCGCAAGCGGTTCACTGTCTCCCAACCTCTCTCAACGCCAGGCGGTTGCTGGTATTGCGTCATCGCTGATCTCAACCGTGGGAGAAAAGGATAACCGATGGTTATGGTTGAATTTCCGCTGCGCCTTGTGAGGACGATGAATGCAGGGTTATCGATATTGATGGTAACTGCAAACAGCATCCTTGAGATCCTTAAGGACTTCTTGCTCTCAATAAGAATAAGAGATCAAGTGCTCGAGGAATCAGATCACCCTTGAGTTAAGAAAGGTATCTGGAACGACGTTGTTTACCCAGCAGTTCAGTATCGACAGCGGGAGTCTCAGCGGCACCTTATGTATGCAAACCCAGGTTCGATTCTAGGCTCACTCGTGCATTGGTGCTTGTTGGTTTCTATTTTCCCTCCCATCTCGGCCCTCTGCTGAACAGAGCCAAATTTTAACACCCATTTCAGCTACTCATCGTGCGCCTGAATACCTGCACGTTGGTAGGTTCTCTTGAGTCTTGTTTCAAACCCTAAAGGCGATGTATACAAGATAAATGTGACCCGGTAGCGAGCGGCCTCGCACCCACCATCTATGGTTATTCATGGCTGTAGTTGCGGGCGGGAGCCCCTGGTTCGACTCCAGGCCGAGTCATGGGCACGACGCAGCAGTTGCATTCTTTTTCTTGTGCCTGACAGGCATTGTGTTTCCAGTCAAACCTGCAAGCCGGCTTAGCTACTCGCTGGCCCACAAGCATACGTGGTTCAACTTGTCTTGCCTTTGCATCATTATATATGTGTGGAACTGATTGCGAGCACCCGAAATTTAGCTAATCAGTGCGGTAAGCAGCTGAGGGAAAGTAAAATAATAATAATCGGACGTAGTGTACTGTCATACCGCTGCCTCGAGCAGAGAATTCAGCCGCTTGAAGGGGAGTCCCCGTTCAATTCCCGGGTGCGAACTGAGGCCAGATCAGCAGCGGCTCTGCGAGGCGAGTCTACTGGATGCCCGAGGGCTATTATGCAATGGATGATGTGCTGTATTGGTTAGTATCGAAGGTAAGATTATTCCCTCAACAAACCATCGGCCAAAGAAAAGCCCTGCGATGCCAAAAGACGAGGCAAGGATCTTTTGCCCGAATGGCCCGTGCTGGCTGGAATTTGACGCCATATTCAAATTCACGAGTCAAGGAGATTGAAGTCCGAGCAGGCGAATTTCGTACCAGCCAAGGCAAAACAGAAGATACAGATTACTCGGACGCCGAAACATCGAATCCAACCGTGGGAGATACGTTCTACTATAATAGCAAACCACGGATTTCTGCTGATCTGCGTGCGCGTGATCCGTCTCTACTTGGAGAATCAAACTCGAAACCGCTTGCTCAATGCTTATTCAGGCTTGACAGAGGTAGAAAACGACCCGATAGCGAGCGGTCTCGCACTCACACTCGGTCTTCCTCCAGTGTGTGGCACATCCATACGTGAGCAGGAGTTCCTGGTTCGACTCCAGGTAGGGCCGTGGTATGAATAAACCGCAGATTTTGATTTTCAGTCGACCCGAAACCCGGATCCGCTGGCCCCCAACGCCAGGTGGTTGCTATCATCGTTGATTTCAACCGCGCGAGAAAGAGTCTAAGCGATGGTGATGCACTGTCTATACGAGTTGCACTGTCCACCCGAGTCTTCGGTGGAAGATGGGGAACCCGAGCAAGTTCTGTCTACTTAAATCGGATACAAAGGCACTTGCGTATTCAATCTCGACAAAGAAAAAATACGACCCGATAGCGAGCGTCTCGCACTCACACTCGTTTGTAGCGACATCCATACGTGAGCAGGAATTCCTGGTTCGACTCCAGGTCGGGTCGTGGTCATGAACCCGGGCATTCTTTTTTATTTCATGCTCCCTATAGGCTTTCAGTCAACCCCGCAAGCCGTGTTCGCTGGCACCCGATGTCAGGCGATTGTTTTGCCTCGCCGTCATTAAGCCATCATCGTTGATTTCAACCGTGGGAGGAAAGTTTAAACGTGGTTGAGATTGAATGAAAATGAATAGCATTTTTTCAATGTAATAATACAGAGGCCGTTTGAAGGCTAGTAAGGATCGAGGACCCGAACAATTAAGAAAACCCGTGAATCAACAACGTACCTGAAGCCGATTTGTTGATCCTTTAGACGAGACAGGAGAATCAGCCGCAGGCTGCTTCTTCGCCTCCCCCAGGCTTGAGATTGGGGATGCCATCCTCATTGAGGCCCGTGGCATAACCCTCGACAAGATAAACTACCCAGGCGCTCGTTAGCGCCGGTGGCCACAACCTTACCTGCTCATCAACTCCTCACCTCAGCGATTACGACAAAGTCGGCACCGCCCGCTCGTCGGCGCTGAACAGGATCCTTGGCGAACCGCGCGGGCGAAGTGCGCGAGCATGACGGATAGTGGTGATCGTGGTGGCTTCGGGAACGACCGCCGCCCATTGCTATCGACGCAATGCTATCGACACCGAAGTTGTTCGTGTCCACGAAGACCGCGCCGTTGCGACTCTCGACCGTCCTGACGTAGAGCGCCTCATACGGTATTTCACGCTCCATGACCATGCAACCCGTGTGTTACCGTATCTATCTGTCCGATCCAAATCCGAGGTCGATCCACGGAACAGAGTGAGAAGAGGAGTGCGCCAGCGCAAATCCCTCCAACCCTAACGCCCACGCGCTCGTCTGGCGCTCCTCGAGGGCGCGGATGACCGCTTTGGTCACTTTGAGGTCGATGTTTTCGGGGTGTGTGTCAGCGAGCCGCAACACATACAAGGGAGCGAGGGGAGTAAGAAGGCAATGGAGGGAAAAGGCGATACACAAGAGAGGCGAGGGATCCGATGAGAATAAAGAGACGCGGGGCAAAAGCCAAAAAGGGGGACACGTATAAGAGCGCGGGGGAGGGCGGGGGAGGGCGGGGAGGGAGAACGGAGAGGGGGAGAACGGAGAGGGTGGAGTGAGGAGTGCGGAGTGCGGAGTGCAGAGTGAGAGTGAGAGTGAGGAAACAGAGAGGGATGGGAGACGGGGAGAAAAGGCAGTAATACGATGAACAAAGGTAAGAAGGTACACTGAGTAACAGACGAAAGCGGGGCAGGGAAAAGAAAGCGAAGGTCCATTGCCCCGTAACGAAAATGAAGACAACGGAAGGAAAGTAGGGAGGGGAGGGGAGGACGAGGATCCATGCGGCAAGCGCATCATGCGGATACACCGGAAACATAAAAAGCCATGTGAAAAAAAAAACGCACAGTCCCAGCCCTCTCCAAAACCCCCTGCGCCGCGCGCAATTTCGTCGCCAAATACGCCTGCCGTGCCGCCGGTGACGAGTTTGCCCCCGGTTCTGCTCTCCCACCTGCACCGACACCAGCGAACGGCGTCGCCCACGAGCCCGCGGAGCCGGTGCGCTCGTGTGAGGCGGGTGGAGGTTGGGGCGGGGGGTAGGCGCCGAGCTCGACGGCGTCGCGTTCACTCGGCGTCGACCATGGCTTGTCGTCGTGGCCAGCGTACGCTCCTCCGCTTTCCTTGGCGATCGACGGGCGCGGATACGGGGTCACGGCAGCAGCAGAGCCGAGGGTTTTGCCGGGGCCG